CATGTGTACTACTATTTGCACTCAGCTGTAGCTTTACATGCCATCTCTTAACCCCAAATGTGAGCCCATGAACCATAAGCCGTTCAAACGAAACTCCTGGGCCATGAACCTTTTATCTTTGAGAAATGACAGCCTCATGTCACACTGATTCATGCATGTACTATCACTTTCAAGCTCACCAGGCACTAAACAGACTCTGCTGAAACTCTCCATCATTGACCTAAAACTTCCCTGTGAACGTACCTGACAGGTCAGGTCTCGGCCTGCTGGTCATAACGGCCAAGGTCAAGTGAAACATTTGTCTGCAGTCATCTGGAAGTGGAGCCTCTGGGTAGTAAACACTGTGGTCAACTCACGGTCAGTATGTGCAGCTCTCCCACGCCACATTGTTGTCAGCTCAAGACAACATACAGTGATCCTGAGATGCACATTACTGTCAGAAAGAATTAAGTGTGCTCCAATTGAAATGCAAAAGTTAACTTCAGATTAAAACTATGGCTGTAATTGGTCCAAAGTATTGACTGATTTAACTCTTTTTCTACTGTGTAGTTAAAGAAGGAAGTGTTTTTCCTTCAGCCTTGTTTTTCTATCTGTTAATCAATGCTCAAAAATGAAAGAAGGCCTTCACATATAGTAGAATCGGGCCATTTGCCATGCATGCTGGGACAAATTAAAGTGTTCTGTAAAGCTTTTGCTGGGCTAAAACATTGAAGGTTAGGAGTTTTCCAGCTCATCAGGCTTTAGCTGAGTTAATGAACCCTCATAGCCGTGCCCCCACGGTCTGGTCTGAGCATTACTCACAGGCTAAGCAGGGAAAAAGAAGCTGCCAGTGTTCCTACGCTTCAACAAGCCACTGCACACACACAGATCATGACTGTGGAAGTTACCGGGTCACAGAGGTCTACGCAACATCTGCTGATCCTGTGTGATATCTCAGGAGAGTTAAATCAGGCTTTGCTGCAATATGGATAAACAAACACAAATGTGCTGGGGCATAATTGAATTACTTCTATCCACCAAGAACATTGAAGATGAAGGGTGGATGCCCCTGGACATGTTTGTGTTTGTTTGAGCTGTAAAGTCAACTGATGTCATCTCGCAGAGGATTCTCTGGCCCAGATTCTCTCACGTTTGTTTTCACAACTGTACAACATGCCCATCATGAAGAAATATAATTTCAATGTATTAATAATTTTCTTTTTCAATAATTCTCTTTATTGAATTTCTCAAGTTATATATAAAAAAGTACCCCAGCAGACAGAAAAAAAGAACTCTTAAGTACACAGTATATTTCTATGCCCTCTGACACTGCTTCCAACAATACATTTAAAATGTGAAATTAAAAACTGCCATGGGAATTGCAATAAGAAAAGAAACAATTTACTCATAGGGATCCGACTCTTTTTAGGAAATTGTTTTCAGTGGTCGTTTAAGGGGCACTCTGTGTTAGCTTGCTTTTATGGCGTTCATGGCCTTTTTCACCACTTCAGTTTTTCTTACATAACATTAATTTGGCTACAGCTCAGGCTAACATACAGTTAACATACCACTTCAGCAAGGCCTCAGAGCAGCTCTACCAGGTGAGCTATCTGGGTGCCCCTTTATTTCAACTGGTCATTTAAATTATTCCACAAGGAACAAAATTAGACACTACTATTTTTTTTTTTTATCCCAGTGACCATTTAACATAATGTACAATCTTACATTTCAGGAGCCCATCTACAAGGGGAGAGTACGGGGTTGCTTTCTATGTCTCATTCAGTAGTGTAGGGCCCAGATAAAGTTTACATTTAGCTTTAAGTATGTCTACTGACTACCCAATGCACATCTGACTCTGGGAGATTTTACTACTACACACTACACTAATACAGTAAACTTGTAATCAAACAGTTTACACATCCAGCAGATACAGACCAGCATCATTAGAGGTCACAATTCTGGCCACCTGATGAATTTCCCTTTAGCTCTGTTTTGGACTCCACCTCTTTAGATGTTAAATGCCCCACTATGTTCACCAGCTAACTTCGTCTGTCTGCTTTTTTGTGCTGAGCAGGTAGTGTTGTGGGTTTTTCAGGCTTTTTTTGCTGAAAACAGCTGCCTGCTGCAGCCATTAAGTTACACTAAGAACAATGAGCGAACCAAACAATGATGTTGAAGACCAGAAAACCAAAACAATGCGCTGAAAGATGCTAAAATGCTCCATAAAGCTTAAGAGTTGGGTAATAATTGTGTGGGTTTGTCACTATGACAACCCCTTTAACCTTACACACAGTCATTTGATGCATTGTTATTATAAAAATATTTATTAAAGCATCTTTAAATTAGAATTAAGTGTCAAAAGAGGTATTTGGGGCCTTATGTGAAAAGGTATTTTGATGTTAAGCAAACATACATCCATACATTCACTACCTTACACACTACCACAGCAAACACACACACAAACAATCAAAGATACACTTCAGAATATGCAAAATACAAGTTACTGGTGAACATTAACTGCACTTAGCTACAAAGGAGAACACATGCTACACTACTGTACTACTCACTGTGACATTATAGTGCATTATACGCAGCGCTGTTTCATCTGAAACATCCACCGGAAATATGACATGTATTATTCAACCTATTATTAATTCATGTTAAATTCATCAGTGATAAACATGTATGTCTTTGGAGAGCACTAAAAAACTGCATGGAGAGAGTGAAGCAGAAACTTGAGGAGATACAGTACCATGTAAACGCTTACAGCTTGGCAACACTGAACATTTCCAGTTATGCAGTGTTGATTACTTGGCCTAGATACAACAATATGGATTATTCTTATCCACGCTTCTCCCAATGATGTGATGCATCACGGGGCAAAGGGTTTCTTAGTTCAGTGGTTTACATAAAGCATGTCGCATCAGAAATACAATGTTATGGTGCTGTCATGCTGAGATATTTCCATAGAACTTCCACCAGGTCTGTGATTCAATTATGCTCTGCTCTATAGTTTACAGTTATCACAGAATCAAATAAAGAAACAACAGCGAGGAGATTTACAGATTTCATGGAGATTTTGAAGAAATTCCATCTTCTTGCACCAGTGCGTCTATTTGAGCAGAAGAAGAATTCTTAAAATTCATTATTAACCCATCACTGAAGCAAAAAAAGCTCTGGATTGATTAGAAGTAATTACTTGACTGCAGACCAAAAAAAACCTAAATGAGATCTGTACTGAAAGCTACTGGCCATTCAAACAACACTAAAGAGCATGAAAATCTCAGCCTGCAGTCCGTGGGAGTAGCTAAGCAACCGTGCAGAAAGAACGCCTTTAGAAATCTGTCTGCATTTCTTTGACGGCTGCAGATTACAACTGGATTGGTTTTAAACTTCCAACAAGGTGTTGGAAGCGCTCCCTGACAGAGTTGTGATTGGGAATGAGTGGCCTTACGGTATGCTATGTCAGAAGACATTAGCTTACACGCAGACTGATGTTTAAATGGGGATTCTATTCAAGGATTTGTGGGAGGGAAAAGTCTT